TTACCCTGGAGGAGACGGTGAGACGCATCTACGAGACACAAGCCACACCATTATACTATGGCGCAAGCAATACATCATCATCCCTGGGCGACAAGCGGCGTCTCGTGCACCATCTCCTCCGGCTCCGCCATCTCCTCCTCAGGCTTCAGCACCGTCTCCTCCTCATGCTCCAGCACCGTCTCCACCTCAGGCTCCTGCAATGACTCCTCCTCAGGCTCCTGCACCGACTCCTCCTCAAGCTCCTCGTCCAGCACCTTCCAAGTCAAGGGCCCCCCAAGCTCCACCGCCTGCCCCCACAAGGGCAACGAAGAAGGCGAAAGTTGACACCGCCAAGAATAAGGACCCGGGGTACGATTGCACGCAAGAGGAGCTTGACGCTTATGTGTCATCAGAAGTCAGGAGACAATTGAAGCCTCGAAGTCCAGAAAAGAAGATTTCTATAGACCCGAGTGTCAAGAACTTCTTTAGGGGTATGTCTGCACCTGCCAAGGAGGCCATAAAGCTATCGGACTATGAGCGAACACTCAAGAAAGCATCTTCTGGAAAGTCCAAACCAGTCCCTCAGCTTGGAGAGCAACCAAACCAGGAGATCGAGCCGTTGGTGACCGGTGAAGATTTTGGAATACAAGAATTTATTAATGACACCGGGCTAACTGTGGATCAATTGCTACGAGGCGCACCAATCGAAAAGGCGGAAGCGAAATACATGTACGAACTCGGTAAACCGCTTGTCAAGCCTGAGCAGCTGCAGTCCCTACCCACACAAATATACAAGTTCCATCAACTGTACATGGAGATGAGCACCACCGGTAGAGAGATGATCGGAGCGAGGATCAGGGACACGGACTTCTTGCAAGGAGATGACATTCTCTGGATCAATTTCAAGGGTATCTACGAACTATACCAGCTGGACGCCCTCGACGTCTCTATTATGAGTTGCTGGATTTTGTAAGTATCGTTCAGTTAGATTTCTTATTACGTTTCCTTTAATTAATTAGGTCCTTGTGTATAAGTAGACTATATATAATATATACTTCCTTTTATCGTTGTAGAATGGAGATTCAAAGGGCCCGACGGCGGAGGGTTTTCGATACTGGATTCATCGACCCTCGGAAAGTAAACGTCGCAATGCTTGACCAGTATCCGCAAGCCACATAGGACAATCTCGTCCATCTCCTGATGGCGTAGCATTACAAGACGTTCATACTGTTGCCGTACAACATAGAGTTAGTTTAATTTTACTGTCTTCCTATACCAAATTTCATTCCCGTAAGAACATGCTAAGTGTTTCATACGTAATGCATCCCACGCACATTGCAGATTCCCCTGGGTGCTTTTACTCTTCGACCTGGAGGCCTGCACCGTCAACGTATATGACTCAATGGATAAAAAAGAGTCTACGTTTGACAAGGTTTTCGAACTTATAGACAGGTACTGTCATAAGTTCCTATGTTAATTAAGAATCTTGTTATAGTTAATTGCTACTACGAATCATAGCTTTAAACTCCATGTAGGGCTTGGTATCGGTTCCGTCATTTGGTCCGCGGCAAATGGAGAGAAAGACTTAGGCGGAAGTTCAATTTTCCTGTGAGTACACATGCTCTACATTTATATTGAATCTCCAATTCAAATACATACAAGTGTATATTAATTAGATCTCTCGCCATTTGTCATTTATTTATAGTGCGCAAAGCAAAAGCAGGGAACTAACTTGTGCGGCTACTACGTGTGCGAATATTGCCACTGCCTTGCAGACCAAATCATCACCACAAGAGAGCTCGATGTACGTACAAATAAATTCAAAATTTCATTACGTATCGATTTGTTGTTTAATTACTAATTAATTTCATACATTCATATAGTTTATTCGCATGAGGGATAACCTGATCACACACAAGGAATTTATCGCGGTGGTTCAAGAACAACTCATGGGATTCATCAACGAACAAATCCTTGATCCCAAGGGTGAATTCTACTACGACGGAAATACAATTCATAGGTCCTTAGCTTCTGAGATAACGACTACTACTACGTCGAAATCGTAGCTAGCTAGGACATCATAATGGATTGTAATTAATACATGTCTGTTTTTCTATATGCATGTGTACACATTTTCTTTAATGTATATATATATATATATATATATATATATATATATATATATATATATATATATATATAAACCATGCAGCAACAGGGCCATGCAAAAAAAAAGATCAACTCGATCTTTAGTCCTGGATTGGTAGTTCCGGTTTAGAAACCAGGACTAAAAGGGGGTTACGAACCGGGACTACAAACGCTTTCTCCACCAGTGGAAGTACATTAGTTATTTTTTTCTTATATGATTAATATGAGTCATATGAAGTGTGTTGCTGAGCTGCGATAATATGTTACGGCCTCATCTTTTCGCTTATGCTTATGCTTATCAGCCAAAATTTGAATTTTCAACCTTAAAATTGGAAGTGATTTTGGGGTTATTCATCAAAGTTTAATTTTCAACCTTTCCTTTTATATCGCTAAGAACACATATATAAAAGTTTTATTCATAAATTACTCTTCTCTTGCAAATATGTTGTTTGGCTTATTCCACGAATAAGCGAACCAATGGGGCCGTTAACTTTTTTCTTTTTCTAACGAAGAACCACCTATGACTAAGGCCCTGTTGGGATCATTTAGTCTCTAGACTAAAATTAGTTTCTGAACTAAAAACTTTTGTCACATACTGTTTGGATCAATGGACTAAAAGGGACTAAAGGCATGTAGACCGAGGGAGCGAGAAGAGAGAGATTGCCACTTTAGTCCCTAAAAGTAGCTCTAAGAGAGACTAATGGATTTTAGTCCTAATATGCACTTTTAGTCTCTTTTAGTTATCCATATTTGAATTCTTAGGGATTAAAATAGAGTGACTAATGGATTAGTCCCACCCCATCAAGGGAAAATTGGAACCATGTCATTATAATTTTGTAAAATTTGAGATATGCTATGCTGACCCACATGTCATTGACTCATGTGGGTCCTATTTGTCATTGTGATACTAATGGCATAACTCAAACTTTGCAAAATTATAATGGTATGGTTCCAAATTACCCATGAATGAAACAGGATCTGAGTCGATTTGCTTCAAATTGTTTGACTTTCCAAACGTCGCAACAAATATGCAACCTTTGTTAGGAAACGATACAATGTAACCGATCTGGAAATTTCCTGATGACGGGCAAATGGGCAACCCATCCAGTGAGATGTGTGAATAAGCACCCTGTGCACATAATCTGGAGCCGTGCTGCCAAAAAAAAAAACAAAAGAAGGGGACAGTGACAAGAAAAACGCACATGTTGATGGCGAAAAAAGGTCCTAGAAAAACCAGGCCTGTAGACGAGAAAGGAGGCACCAGGGGCGAAGCTATAGCAAGTTATTGGGGTCAGTTGACCCCGATGATTTCTTCCGAGTCCCTTATACTCCTTTCTATTTTACAGCTATGACCGGTCAAAGAAAACACTAGACCCCGATGATTGTTTCGTTAAAGCTCAACTGGTGGCAAGAAACGATACTATTATCAGCTAGCAAATAGAAAATTAGTTAGCAATTGTGATTATATGTCAGTCTACATAGATATATATATACGTTTTAGACTGGCGCTCATAAAGTGACCCTTATTTAGGATTAATTGCTCCAGTAGCCAACTAATCCTATTATTATTTCTTGATTATCATCACAATTTGGTTGAACCTAGTCTCTTAAGTCTGAATTTGAGGAAATTAGAGTTTTGAAATATAAACGTTTGATTTTTCAAGTTCAGTTACATGATCATGAGGCATGAGCCGGGGGAATATAACAAAGGTGATTTTCACCATATAAGAGGTTGTTATATTCTTTTCCCAAATATAGTAATCTAGTACAATAACGATGTGGTTGTAATTGAGTCCCTGTTTAGTTCCTACACAAAAAATTTACACCATATCACATCGAACGTTTAACACCTGCATGAAGTATTAAATATAGGCTAAAAATTAACTAATTGCACATATTGCGACTAATTTGTGAGACGAATCTTTTAAGCCTAATTGCTCCATGATTTGATAATGTTGTGCTACGGTAGACACTTTCTAATGACAGATTAATTAGGCTTAATAAATTCGTCTCGTTGTTTACTGACGGATTATGTAATTAATTTTTTTTATTAGTGCCCGATCACCCCATGTGATACCCTATATAATATCCGATGTGACATGCCAAAACTTTACACCCCTAATCTAAACACCCCCTGATATGTAAAAGGTAACCACTACTACAACAATAACCTTAAAATTATTAGAAGCTATAGCCAATTGTTAGGATCGTTAATTAATAGTGACCCCGGTGACAACCTATCCTGGCTTCGCCCCTGGGAGGCACTCAGGCACATGCGTCCTGGTTCCCACATGCACGCCGCGTGAACTCAAACTCGTCGCAAAAGAAAAAACAGAGCAAATCTATCATCACTTGGCGCCGATCATCCCGAGTTCCCGACAGCGATCATGGATTCATGGTTCACGATGGCCAGGGCACTCCATCTCAAAAAGAAAAAAAAATTAACAGAAAGATCAAAAGAGAGGAAGAAAAATTATCGTGATTCTGTGTTCATGCATTGGCAATCAAGCCAATCGTACACCATGTTTTCCTATCTACTGTAGCTAGGTTGCAAAATTATCGTTTACATGTATCGTCTCAATTCAAGTTTATAGCTACCAAGTTTGAGCTTTACACTTACTAGTAGTAGCATAATAAACCGCGCCGCCCGTTGCTAGCTGACACCTGCAAGAGTGCCAGTGAGTATATACTAGTACTACTACGGCAGTAACCTATGAGCCGTTTGCTACAGGCGAAACCGAGCCAGCCCTCTTGCGAGACTGCGACGCGCGCGATCGTCAATCATGCAGACGATCGATCACATGCGTGATCGCGCTGGACATCTGACCGTTCACCGTCGTCGTCGTCTGGCCCTGCCACATGACATGCATGCGCCACGCACGACAACCCATTCCTTCCTCTCGCTGTCCTGCCGTGCCCTGCCTCCCTTATCCAACAAGCGTAATCGATCGATCGATCCATCCATGTCTCTGCATCCGGGTAGTGGGTACAAATAAGCTGAGGCCTTCTCGCGAGAAATCAAAACCGTATCACCTCACACTCACAGCAGTTCGGCTGACCATGGCGAGAGCGGCGGCGGCGGCGGCCTTCGTCTTCGTCTCCCTCGCCCTCCTCTGCGACGCCAGCCAAGGTGATTGAAATTGCTAATTATAGTACTAGCATTACTTGGCACTTGATAGTTGCTGCATTGTCATTGCAGTGCTAATATAAACGAATTGTGGGCGTGCAGGCGAAGGGGCGGCGGCGGCGGCGGCGTGCAGGGCGGCGGATTTGGTGGTGAGGCAGAGGGCGACGGGGCGGGTGGTGGAGGGGAAGCCGGAGTACGCGGTGGAGGTGGCGAACCGGTGCCGGTGCGCGCAGTCGAGGGTGGTGCTGCGATGCTACGGGCTCAGCAGCGTCGAGTCGGTGGACCCGCGCGCCATCCGCCCCGTCGATGACGAGCGCTGCGTGCTCCGCGGTGGCCGCGTCATCCGCCGCGGCGCGCCGCCCGTGCGCTTCACCTACGCCTGGATGACGCCCTTCGACTTCCCCCTCGTAAGCTCGCAGGTCCACTGCTAGTGCTTAGCTAGCCTAGCAAGCACTGTCACCCACTCTATCATCAGCTCGTCGTCAAAACGGCAGAAGCGAAAATGAATTAGCTAGTGCAGAGTGTATCATATGTAAACCCCAGTACTGCACCGTGTTAGTGCTGGGTAATTTCAAACTTCTGATATTGTTTTTGGTTTTGGAAAAAAGAAGGGGGAAGCAGTGGAGCACCCTCCAGAACTGTTTGTGATCAACTAAGTTAAAATCAGACCATCAATTGCACTTAGCTAGTAGCACAAATTGGAGTTTTCCTTTTTGAGATGGACACTGGAATTGGACGAGCTCTTCTTGCTCCTGTAATCTCCTAGGCGTCCAGCTTTGTTAATTTCTACGGTAAAAATTGGTTAAGGATTTCAACTAGTTGGGTACAAAGTTTGGGCAAGTATTGTCGCCACCAAGCTGTTGACATGTGTTCCTGCAGTATATATGCTTCACAAATTGGAGATGATTATATTCGTGAAAATGCTCAAATGAAAAAGAAAACTACAGTCCAATTTGGAAATAACCCAGACTTGCCAGTTGCCACGCGAGACCGGTCTGACTAGCCACCAACGACATTTGGCCAGTCAAACTGACATAGTCTGACTCCAAGTCTGATTTGTGGTGCTCGATTTTTCTTGCTTAGGCCTGAGATTTTTAGAGTCCTAACTGGTTTCCACACCTAATTGGATATGAAAAAAACCCTCAGAAGTAAGTCCACCCTCCTATAAATATAAGGGGTCTAAGTCCGATTGAAACAACAACCAATCAATCGTCAAAATCAATTTAGTATCCAAACCTTCTTATATATTCTACATCTCACTCATTCTTGCTACCTATCCCAAGTTTATCGTTCTCAAATCCACCAATTGCTCGTCGTCTCTCATCTCTACGGTGTTAGAGGACGCCCTAGTGTTGAAGCGAAAAACACACACTGGCTAGGAAGATCTACTTAACTTCAGTACAGATCCAAAATCTTGCCTTTAGGTTTATGAGCGTGCCAGTTGATTTGAACCTGCAAACAACAAGAAACAAAGACAAAAAAAACCGCGGTTAAATCCATAAACGATAGCCGATCGGCTAGTCGCCGATGGCATATCATTTATCTTCAAGACGATGTGAATCGATCGGCAGCTATGAATAAGCAAGATAAGACTAAATCTATTCGATCGGCTGTAGATATTAACGCTATATAATCAGTATGTCGATGTATATTTAGATCAAGTGATTGGGATAGATTGGTCGCCATGCCGAGACAGTATAAATCATTTAGGTCGAAATATATATTAACATAAAGATTATAAACGCTTATAGCATAGCCGATCAGATAGATTTAGCATGTATTGGCAAATACTCCGATACCACTCTATATTAAGATATTAAAACAGATAGAATATACCACACAGAAGCCTAATATACTTTATTGTAACAAGATCTTAATATAAAGGGCAGATTTAGCATATCAATTAAGCATATAAGACATAAAGCTAAATCAGGTAAAATCGGCTGAAACCTCAATACTATCTCTCTTGATGATTATAAAACAAGCCAGATATCATAATTATAAAAACTACTTAATAGATCGAACTCAACCGATGCAGCATTAAGCATAAAGACAAATATGAGATCTAAGCAAGATGATCAAAATCTGCAAGAGATGGTGGATACACGATACAATCTAGATTAATAACAAAACATAACTCTACCAATTGTTTCCTAACAATAAGAACTAGCCGATAACAAGTTATATAGCACAACTAGTATAGATTGCAGCATGTATATGATAACTCGACGGATTACATGAACAGGGTTAAAGTATCATAAAGATGGAAGCATTAACCCCGATAACGCAAGCCGCCATAACAAGTTTTACCTCTAGTTGAAGATCGAATCGATGCAGCTCAACCCGAAAGCAAGAACTCATCGAAATAAACGAAAGTAAAAAGGGTGGCGATGCGCCGAGATTGTATTGAACGATTGTTAATTGATTACATGGGTTCGGGTCATATTTATACCCGAGATACAAAATATGTCCTTGCCGGACACGACACTTATCTCTAACAAACTCTAAGATACCATAAGCCTTTGCGGCAGACTTTTGTCCAAACATATCTCTAAGGAAATTACATGAAATATCCTAACTAATAGATACAATTGCCTTATCCGAGAGCTTTATCTCCATCATGGCAATCCTCATGAAGCACTTTGAACGATTCTGGAAACAGCTTCGAAACCGTCTTCATCGGAATCAGCTGCATCACCTCCATCGGCTGTATCGGCTATCCTCTGTCCGATCCATCTCAGCCGATGTAGACTCCAGCCGATGCCTTCGCAGCCGATTCACGCTCTGTTCTTCGAATCGATCTCTTTATCGAATCCGCTTCGATCCCAATGTCGAACCTGGTTCACATCTTACCAAATTTGGTCGTCAACACCTAGCTAGCCTGCCGAGTCTAGAATAAACCGACGCTCGTTCACCTTGATGGGGTCCCTCCCGGGTGTTCGTTAGGCGGCATCTACCCACTCCCTATGGCGGCGTGTTTCCGGGTGCTACCGTGGGTTGCACATCACATGCTTAATGTGTGGCGGCGTTATTCTACTTCAACAACTTGACTATTATTATAAGAAATGTCACAAAGCATGGTGCGTGTCTTCTATATGATGGTCTGAAAAATATAACAAAGATACATCAGAAATCACCGCACCTTTCGTGGTATAAGTAGGAAATAATGGGTATGAGAAGGCAAATTCGCCAAAACATGGGCATGGCAAAGATGATGATTATAGCGAATTAAAAAGTATGGTCAATTACTACCTGGCATATCTCAATTCTCACACACACATAGTGTCGATCTCTTGGATGTCATGTTGTACCTAACTACAGATCTATAATTTGCTTTTCTTCTCTCTCCACATATCTCCTTCACCTAAATACAAATATGATATAACAATTTTAAAATGCCACTTATACATTACTTATTGTAGGAATAAGTCCATTTTGCCTCCCTTAACTATTGCTTGTGATTAAATTCTCCCTCAATCACAGAATCAGATATAACGCCTCCCCCATTTTTAAAAACCAGTGTAAATTGACTCCTTCGGTGGTTTTAAAAGCGGTTTCTATTGACGTGGCAAGCAGGGCCCCACATGTCAGGCACCTCTCTTCCATCAACCAAACCACCACCTTTTAGAGCTTAGAGAAACATCACTTTTCCCTCTCACATCTCCAAACAGGGCACCGCCAAGCTGGCCGTTTTCCCCAGCGCCGCCATTGCACGTCGCACCTGGAGAGCGCCACCTCGCCGCCGCCCCTTAGGCCTTAATCATAAAATGTTTCAAATAAGACTAATGGTTAAACGTTAGATATAAACAGTACAAAACTTCAATCTGGATGGAGGTAGTACGATGGAGGTAGGGCATCTGCATGTTGCACTTGAAAAGATCAGTTTCTACCTGTTTATTTTAGTTGTGCATGCATTTAATATGAACCACCAGTTGGCATGTAGGTCTTCTGTTTTTAGCATTTTTCAGTGCGATTCTACCGTGTGTTTGGTTCTGGGACTAGATGGGATGTGATGAAACCATCCCTAATTTTATGGTTGGGATGATTCCACTCGCGTGATTGGATTGTAGGATAGGACGATCCTAGTTTTTTGTTTGGTTGAAGGGATGAGGGAGGGATGGGATGGACGCCGTTTGCAACTACTGACGATAGTTGACAAGGCGAAGCAGCGCGACTACAGCCCGGCGGGCGAGCAAGCAAACCGGCGACGAGAAGGTGGAGGAGCGGCGTGAGTAAGTGAGCAGGAGGAGCAACCATGGCCACCGCCGCCTCTGTCCTCACCTCCCTCTCCGCCATCGCGGCTGCCGGGAAGAGCCTCTGTCACATCCAGAAATTCTACAACTCGAATTTCAAGCTGAATGTGTATTAAACTTCTATCCAGGACCAGCCAAAGTACACAAACGACAATTTGATACAATTCCACGACTATATAAAATAAACTCACAAACGCAGCGGAAAAACAAAAGAACTAGACTTAATCTTCTCGGCAAAAGCGAAGTTTTCTCCATAATCCACAGGCAAAACCTTGACGTCTGGAACAAGCTCAATCCTTAGAGAACTCACCATCTAAACCAATCTCTACTTCTGTGGTGAGGGAGAAATAAAGTAAGATCGAGTACAACCACCGTACTCAACAAGTCATATCAACGGGGAGGCATGATGCAAGGATATTCAAATGAATGGCTCATAGGATAATTTGTAGTAAAAGTAGCATTTATAAATCATAATTTGAAAGCAGTAAAAACAGTATATAATTAGGTAGTATTAACATGAACACTGTTCAACGCTAAAACCACGTTGCAATAGGCCCAATCAAAACCACATGAACTACACCAGTTCATTAAGTCAAATTATTAAGATGAGACTAATCACGGTGAGCTGGTTGACCGCCCAATAACCGCGGGCACGGCTATTCAAATAGTTTTACTCTGATCAGATATGTACAGCTTTACCCACAAGACACGATTCTACACATGTTACATGCCCCGAAGTATCACCGTGATACTGCAAAGGGGGAAATCGTGACAAAACCCTCCATATAACCTCCCCTAACCAACATACTCACCTCAGGTTTCACCCCACCCCTAAACAGGCAGTGGGCAGTCCCCTCTCGTGCCTAGGTAAATCCGGAAGCAGCATAGACCGCTTCCCGGTCCATCCATACTCCATCACGCCCACCCTTGCCATGGTATGTTAACTAGAAAATATTATACTTTAGATTTAGCCTGGAGCCCATCTGGCCTGTGGTCAATACGAGTATATCTTCCAGGGATTCCCGAGAACCGGTCCTTAATTGTCATGTGCACGACTTCCAAAATCAATCATGCATTGTACCCACAACCCACCATTAAAGCATATTTTAGTTTAATTAAACCAGAACCATGGTGGTACATCATAACATAATTAAGGACTAAATTATAATGAATCCCATTGTGAGCTAATTGGTCTAAGCATGGCTAAGCATTCCTAAACCAATCATCTAGTCAATTATAACCCAAGCTGTCAATGGCATGATATAATCAACAGGCTGAGAATAATAGAAACATTCTAAACCCAATGCAATTTAATAGAAAGGAGGGGATTTTGTAAAATAGGCTCAATATGATCAATGATGTATGTATGACTTGCCTTGCTCTTGAACTGACGGAACCTCGGCGACCACTTCAAAATAAACTGGAGCATCGGAACAGCCGGAATCTAAATGACACACAAAGCACACAAGCAATACACATAATAAGGCTACTAAAATATCAAAAGAAACCAATTTTAATGGATTCTATACATTTTAACGAATTCACTGCAATTTGAACGGGTTAAAACGGAGCTCAGAATATTTAGATATGAATTTACAAGATGAACTGTGTTATTACTAGTAACCGAAAAACCTTAGTCATTTATTACATATTATTGCCCAAAGATAAAATAGATCAAAGGGGAAATTAACATCGATAAGCAAGCCTCACGAGATACCAACTCATCGTGTCACGGGACCATCCAAACGGTCAACCAAACCGGTGGCTCAGGACGGTTCTAAACTAAAGAATGACTTGAACGACCGAATGAACTAAAGCTTCGGTCAAACTACGAACGAACAGCGGCTAGCGGCTTAGCGGCACGGCAAGACGTCGGCACACGGGTAGGGCGGCTCGGCTCGGCTTGGCAGCGGTGCGGCACGGTGGCGGCAACGGTGGCACAGCAGTGACGGCTAGGCAGCGACACGGCAGTGGCAGCTGGGCGGCGGCACGGCAGTGGCAGCGGCGGCTAGGCGGAACGAGGCAGCGTCAACGGTGGCTACCTGCGGCGGCTAGGGCTAGGGTAGCGGCACGGCAACGACACGGCGGCGCAAGCCAACAAAAGTGAAGGAACAACTAGCCCTAAAAACAAGACAGAAGCCTCACCGGAGAGGAGATGATGGCGGCGGCGGTTCTGGCGGCGAGCTCAGGATCGACGACGACGACGCTAGATAGGATTGAACGGAAAAGATTAGATAGATGAATTGATGTTTGCAACAACTAAAACATCCATGGGAAGGGAGAACAGAGTACCGGCGATGCAACGGCGGCGATGGCGGCGGCACTGACGAGTGGCGGCGGGACAGCGTCGACTAGCGACGACGACAGGGGAGGGACGGCCGATGGCTAGGGTTTGGGTTTTGCAACTATGTGGGAAAACAAGGAAAATAGAGGGGGTATGAATACTTTTATAGGGGGCAAAAATAGATGGATTAGGTGGGACCTACTGGGACTCGGATTGGGAGAGGGGGAGAGAGGCGGTTCGGCCGGCTAGGGGGAGGGGCACGCGGGGGGAGAGAGGGGGAAAAAAAGAAAGGGATTAGGATAAGGACTTTCCCAAAAAGAAAAACAAATGCGGTGCTGTTTTAGGAAAAGAACAGAAACGCCCCCGCGAATGAAAACAAATACGGTTCGCCATGCAAAACAAAACCGCGGACAGAGAGGGGAGTGAATCGGGCAAGATTCATGACCAAAGGCGAAAAGAAGAATTATTATTAACTCAAAATTTGACAAATTAAATTAACCACATTGCCTCCGGTGCTCTGAATATTCCGCTTTAAGTCCTGTTAATGATTTTAGAGCAAAGAGAATTCGAAAAAATTTCTCCCCAACAATTCCGATTGTTTAATGCATTGTTAATTTGGATTTCCTCCTGGTTAACCAAAGTAATTTCTATAGACGATTTATTAATGATTTAGAAACTACGGAAAAGGGGAAAACTCCGGGTGTGACAGCCTCCTCTTGTCCTCCCCCTCCCCCTGGCTCCCTCTCCCTCTCCTTCGCCTCCCGCGGCCGCGTCGCCGTCAGGCCCCACCTCCGCGCTTGTGTCTTGTCCGCTGCGCCGAGGAGGGTGTTGTCGGCCTCGGCCCCGATAGCGGCCACCATCGCAGTCAGGCACAAGCTCCTCAACACGATGCTCTCCTACTTCGAGTTGCTCGACGACCGTGAGGGCGGAGCGAGTCGACCAGAGCCCGCACGACGGATCCGGAGATCCCCTGCGTCGGATCCAATGTAGCAACGGGGCTCACGCTGTGCGCCCATCCCATGTGGGACAAGTTCGTCCGCTCGAATTTGTCGGACAGCCTCGACCCGGATATAAGGGGAAGTTTCATCTAACAGGATCATCTCATCCCATCTAACGGAAAAACGGGTTCGCCCTGTCCCAACCCATTCCATCCCACCAACCAAACATCACCCAAGCATACAAAGAAAAAAGGGTAGCACCCAAAAGATTGTTGAATAGTCCCACATTGGTTATGGAAGGGCAAAGGACCTAAGATATAAGTGGGGGAGCCCCTCACCTCAATGGCTAGCTTTTGGGGTGGGAAAGGCCATTTACGATCCTACAATTGGTATCAGAGCCTGGCTAGGTTAACATCTCTGGCCCAATGGACACAATGTGTGAAGGCCTGATGGATCGTAGGTGCCTGCGGAGCCCGTATACCTAATGGACCGTGGGTGTGGGGGCCCGTATACGGTGAAGGGCTGAGGGACACCAATGTGTGAAGGGGGAGATTGTCGAATAGTTCCACATTGGTTGTGGAAGGAGGGGGAGATTGTCGAATAGTTCCACATTGGTTGTGGAAGGGCAAATCAATAGCTAGCTTTTGGGGTGGGAAAGGCCCTTACCAATGTGTGAAGGGGTGAGAAAGGCCCTTACCAATGTGTGAAGGAGAAGATTGTTGAATAGTCCCACATTGATTGTGGAAGGACAAATCAATAGCTAGTTTTTGGGGTGGGAAATGCCATTTACGATCCTACAATACCTCTGTAAACTCTCATTGTCATTGACACGTAATTTACCTCCTTTACTTTTTATTCAAACTTTCTATACTTTTAGTTTGGTCCTTTAGACTATATACTATATGTTTTTTATGTGCCAATTTTTTTTTATAATGATAGTTTATGGGATATAGACCAAAACATGAATGAAGACGAATGCCATTGGTAAATAGTATATATATACTGGACTTCAATTGATCCGGGCAGCGCGGCATTGTGCGCTTCAGCTAGTACTACCAAAACCAAAACAAATAGCAGCTTGGAGAAACACAGTCTGACTTGTCTAAAGTAGAAACCAATACTACCAAAACCAAAACAAATAGCAGCTTGGAGAAGCACAGTCTAACTTGTCTAAAGTAGAAACCAAACAGTACACTGATCATATCAGTAATTCCCAAATTTAACTTGAGATAAACAAAACACAAAAGAAGTGGTGGTCTGGAAATCACTGGAAGTCATCTTGGGCATAGATAGCAGCTTCAGAATACCTGTGGTCACTTCTAGTTTGTCAGCAATTCCGCTTGTTCAGCTTCATAAACCTTTGTAGCCTCCCCTATCAAGGTGGCCAAGAGCTTTCGCTTTTCAATCCTTTGTTGATACAAAAATACCATTTCTTCATGGATTCTCTTGGAAGTGCGCTTTTTTATCCAAATGCCATATTTTGGTGCATCAGTTACCAGCTTAGATAGCACATCTGGTGAAAACATCTGAAATTAAAATGCTTTGGCCCATTAGTTGAATGAAAAGTTACCATCAGATGTGCTGGAACACAACAAAAAAATAATTACGATTTACCTTTTGACTGTATTCTATAACTTCCCTTCTAGGGTAAGATGCTATCAGCAAATCTGTAGAATGTTTCAGCAAGCATGCTATGATCTTTTCTTCAGGGTAACATACTATCATCAGAGCTGTAGAAAGTTTCAACAGGCCCCAATCCTCACTGTTAATGCTAGAGATATCCATAAGGTTCCGACCAGCACGACGCAAGGACCAATTATTTTTCTTCTCACAATCATCACAATCATACAAGTCAGATGCTGCCTCAAGAATACGTTTGTTAACCTGGAAACAAAGGGTATCATTTCGTCAGTAATAGGGAAAAACTCAAATGAAAACTTTTATATAAAAATTAACACCAACGGTAAATGAAGGTTTCAAATGCACAATGAACAAACTATAAGAGTGTAACTAGTAGTAAGCTCACCATCCCTGGTTTGACATCAAATCCATAACGATTCAGGAGCATTTTTAATCCTTGACTCATCTGGAGACGGTCCTCCTTACTCAGCTGAGAGTTTTCTTCAGGGACTAAACTATGCATAAGATTCGTCAAACCCCACATCACCTCCATCACAAATTCATCATACAGACAGGAAATACCCTGAAAATAATGTAAATAAAAAATGCAGCTCAGAACAAATGATGCAACAAATAAAAAATGCAGCTCAGAACAAATGATGCAACAAAGTAGGGAGCTTGCACTAACCAGGTTTGCTTCTATGATTGTTTTATATTCGGGTTTCCCAACAGCTATTTTCCCCCCTTTGCGGTGGTACTTTGTTATCATGAGATTAAGCTGATCGTCCACACCAGTATCACAGTTAATTGCCAGAGACTTGTCTGTAAAAACTTGAAAAGCAAGACGCCAAACTACCTGATAAAGAAACAAACAGGGATGAGCATGTTAATGGCGGGAAAAAACAATTATCAGTTAGCAATATATGTTTGATGCAATGTAATGCATCTCAATCTGATACAATTGGGAGCTTTAAGTGTTCATCTATCAAATTGTTGCGGTTCAATTCAGAATTAAGACCATGGGCTAATGTGACATGTTTCAAAAATGTGGTGCTCTTTGGTTTCAAAGTGGTGCGTACCAAATGCCCCTATAGGTTTCACCTTGCTCCAATCGACTTTTAAGAAACCTTTTTGTTACCATGCTTTTAGGAACATGCTTTACAAACATTCTATTGATTTCGTCAGTTAGAAAAATATAAATCATGCGGTACTCCAACTTTTAACTTAATATCAATCCAGAATGGCAATATTTGAATGCCACCAAATCTGATTTGGCCCTCCAATGGTGGCGTAGAACATCACAAGATTTGAACCTTAACTGGGCTTCTAGGAGGCTAGGCAGGGTCGGAATACACTTGGTTGATCACTATCCCCACCACCTTGCAGTTTCAAGTGGAGGCACGAACATATGCTCCAGATGAAGAGCAGGAAATGCTGGTCAGGGTGCAACCTATCCCACAACCTGGAAGAGAATCGGTAAGACCGATGATATGTTGATGGTAAAGGTCCATCAAGATCAATCATGCGGCTGCTATTCCTAAGCAAGCTAAACCAAGTTCCTAATTTGTTGGCTACATGGCTTATGGATTGGCATAGTGTTGATCCTAGTCTGAGAATCTACCAGGGAAGCAGGTGAAATTGGTTGGTTTCTTTAACAAGTTCGACTAGAATCGCAGGATTGGAGTCAAATCCAATGGTAATGATCCTTTTCTCATGATATTTTCAATCAAAGGTCAGACTAGATTATCTATCGTTGGAAGAAACTACACAACTGTCATGCTCTACAATGGTCCCTTGCAGCCACTGCTGAAGGCAAGCTATGCAACTGTCTGGGCTACTACTACAGGACCTATTTGAAATCGGCTATGCTCTAGGAGCTGTCTGGAGGGAAGCACAGTGCCTTCATTCCCTCTGTTGCTGAGCTCAATTTCTGTGCTCTACTTCAAGCTGGAAGGCATTGTGGCCTGGCTAAGGATAGTTCAGGCAAGGTGAGAATAAATCAACCCAAACATTGGAACATCAGATAAAGGTAGAGACGAGTTTGAAGATGCAGAGAAGTGAGGAAGATAGAATCTCATTTGCCCCAGGGCTGGTCAGATGGATTTAGTGACTACATGCCGTTAATCTTTCTTTGTTTTTCTTTTTCTTCTCATTTGTTGTTGTTGTTCTAAACTTATGCACTTTTCAGAGTTTAAAAAGGCAAGGAAATAACTGATGAACAATGATGTTATGGTAAAATCCATCCATTCAATGCAAAATAAATAAGTCGAGTCACGGACGAGCAACCCATAGAAAAAATATATAATCAGAAGGAAACGAAAGGACTTACAAATTTTGCCCTATATTCCATGGCAAAGTTTTGCCAGATATCCTGCAGAGAGAAATCAAATTTAAAATCAGATCCATGACCAAAATGCAGCACATCAGTCTATATAACAAAGGGAAGGATAACGAGCACATGCCTCCATGGCAGTTGGTGCGATGAGGCGGATCCCATCAAAAGAGAAAATTGCAAAGCCCGATGGCGTCTCAAACAGCAGCAAGATTGCCCCGCCGTTCCCCGATCTAGCATCTGTCGAAACAGGAGTCAACAAGGAAACAAACTCAGCCTAGTATTACCAAGGAAAAAAAAAAGCATTCACCGATGAAGGGGAAGGGGAAAGAGCAAGATCCAACACGGCCGCCAGCCCCATCGGCCGCGCATACCCCCGCGCCTCACCTATATCGCCAATAACGTCATTCTGGATCGATATGCGCGGACGCTTGCGTGGGTTTGTTGAGGGTGGAGCACGACGATCGCGTGGCCGTAATGAGTAATGACCGGAGGCTGCGAACGGGGGTGGATCATCTGTACCGGCGGGCGAGTCCATGGAGAAGCTGTGCGAGCGAGGAGAAGGAGAAACCACGAAACCGAACACATAAATAAAAGCGAGGAGAATCCGAACAGGATCGGGACGAAAGGCGGCGGACGGTGGGAGAAGGAAACACGACTTTGTTTTGAGAATTTAAACAACTCAATGTCTAACCTTTCCACTCAATGACATACTCGATCCGTATAAAAGTCGTTTAGGACCGCGACACGGTTTTCAAAATACAACTTTGACTTCTTATTTCTATAAAAATATTTATTAAAAAGTGATATATGTATATTTTTATAAAAGTATTTTTCAAGACAAATCTATTCATATAATTTTTACATTTTCAAACTCAACAACTCGATAGTTATTTATGATTTATATTTTTAAGGTTTGACTTAAACATTGTCCTAAACGACTTCCTTTACGAGTATGGAGGGAGTATGGGCCTAGAACTGTGGCTTGGTTCAAACCTAGGAACCTTTTTGCATATTGGTCTCACTGACCTGTGGACCCAACCTATTTAAAATTTGGAAAAAATCTAAATGAAGTACCTAAAGCTTTTATATTTTCAACAGAAAAACATGTAAACTTCTAAAAACCATAACAAATTGAAAACAACACATTTTAGAGTAAATCAAATTTCTGTGAACTCATCAAATTATGAACTTTAATGTTATGGAATAAAAACTTGGCACTCACAGTACAAATTTTGCCTCTAAAACTCATCTAAACTAAATCACACATAAGGCTTGCACAAACTTATAAAATGCATAGAGAATTCAATTTAAGTCATTTTGGAACAAACTCAGTTTCTATAGATCCACCAACTTATGTTCTTCTATAAAGTAAAATAAAATAGTATACGTACTTCACATCAAATGCCCCTAAAAATACTATCTACAAAATGATTAGTTTTAGATAAGCTGAACTTTAGAAATTCATATAAAATGCATTTCAACTCCTTTTTTTAGTAAATTTAAGCTCGGTAGAAATCACACCCAAATCGATAAAACCACATGCTGCAGGGGACAAAATGGGAAGGGAATGAATGGGGGAGGGATGAGGTGTACCTGCACATATTCAGTTCCGGCCAACCAAAACGACAGCTGCGAAGCCCTAGAGCGGAGCCCAACCTTGCCGCCCCCTGCATCGCCTTTCTGGTTGCCCCAACTTGTCTAGGGTTTTAGTCGGTTTGGAAGCATGCACGATTGAGAGAGTGAGGGGGGAGCGCATCCGTGTTGACCAGGGTTGTTGAAACCCGTGCTGACTCAACTTGTTGACCAGAAACCACCCCACAATATTATTATGGTAGTTGTTTTGTACCGGTTTAAATAATTGAGGGATGTGAAATACTCGGTTGGAGGGCTCCAATCATACTCGGCCCATGGTCGAGGGAGTCAAATATACTTTTTTCCTTATGGATTTATTGACCCCGAGAAGGCTTAAAAATCTGACCCATCATGTACAAGGCCTTGAGTAGATTGGGCCTCCAGCTAGAAAGCATAAAGTGGGCCTAGTCTTGCCAAGGGCCGTGGGCTGGGCTCCCAAGTTGAAAACAACGAAACCAAGGGACCGGGATGCAAAATGATGAGACGGTGGCAGCGCGCGGGAAAACCCCCGCCTCGCCGCCCCGGACTTGGCGCCCATTTCATTTCGCCGCCCCACCCAAAACCCAAATCTGATCTAGGGTTCCTTCCTTCTCCCCGTTCCCCCCCACACACAACAGCACGAGCGGAGGCTGCAGAGCCGAGCGGCGCAGGCGATTCTCCTCCTCTCCCCGCGCCCCGCGTACCGCGCGCGCGCGCTGGGGAGCATGGGCGGCGGCGGTGGCGGCGATGGTCGGCGGCGGAGGCCGTCGGCCGGAGGAGGAGGAGGGGGAGGGGGAAGGGGAGGCGGTTGGAGGTCTGGGTCGTCGGCGGCGAAGGACCAGCGGCTGCGGCTCGGAGCGGAGGAGCTCCTGGAGAGCAGGCTTGGCTTTGCGCCCTACACCGACAGCGAGCGCCGGCTCGGATGGCTCCTGACCTTCTCCCCGGTAAGCCCTCTCTCTGGGATTATTTCTAGCTTGAATTGGGAGTGAGTGTCATCTGGAAACTAGCGGCATAACTTTGTAAATGTTGGGACCTGCTTCTGACTTTGAAGTGGAATATGACTGGAGAAATGGGTCGATCAGTCGGAGTATGCAGACCAGGAAATTCGGGAGCCTCCTTTTGTTTTAGTTCAGTAAGCAGTAGGTGAAATCACTGAGCAATGCCGGTGGTGAGTTGCTGCTAACGTTGGTCTAGCACGTTGATTTGCCAGGTGGGTGTGGTGGGGGATGTTTGTCAAATGCTGTCACAGACTGCAACTAATAGCAACAGTCAATCCTTTGACGCTTCTAGATGCTCGTGGGATAATTTGTGACACAGTTATAATGTTTCTTTTTTTGGTAAAAAAAATAAAGTAGCTACATCATGGAGAAGTTGTTTCTTAAACGATTCTCCAATACAATCTCTTGACAATATGATAAAAACTGTGCTGCTGTTGCCATATCTGGTGGAACCAATGAACGCCCGCACTGAATGGATACACCTATTAAGCTTGGTGGTCCATCCACGTTATGGACAGATCCGTAGAAATTGGACAAGATTATTAAGTTAATCTCTCACTGTTTTGCAAAATGTAATCAACTACCTTTTTGTGACTTTCTTGATTCACCTCAAATACCTGCAGTCATCATGGGAGGATGAGGACACTGGGAAGATATACAGCTGTGTTGACCTATACTTCGTGTCCCAGGTAAATTGCAGTTATGGCAAAAAAAAAACTTTTGATTTGTCACGTCTAATCGTGTATGCTTTCTTGCAGGACGGTTCTACATTTAAAGTGAAATACAAATTTCCCCCTTACTTTTATGCTGCGACTAAGGTGAGCTTGAGCTTGTGTTTGAATCATAAGATGACTTTTAGTTTCTCCGTTGCTTGATGTTTCTTTTCAGATATCATATTTTGGAATTTTAAAATGTCGCAGGATAAGATGGAGTTAGAAGTCGAGGCATATCTCAGGCGACGTTATGAAGGCGACATTGCTGACATAGAAATTATTGAGAAAGAAGATCTTGATCTAGTATGTGCCTTGCTTTGAATGTTTAATTCACTACATTTTCTTTGCATCAGTAAATGCTATTGTTGTGATAAATTTGGATGGTTAAGAGTTTTGATCTTGTTAAGAGTTCTTCACCTGTGATTTCTTTTGTCCTTTTACCTTAGCTGTTTGTTGTAGAAGAATGATCATGTATGCACCATTGCACCCTTAAGATCCCACACACTTCATGTACAGTGCTTAGGATTACAATTGGACAATAATGCATATTCACATAAGATTATGCACTCAGACTCGTATTAGGCTCTAACTTAACATCAACAATTCCCCTAAGTGGTTTTCTACTCCTGTTTAAGCACCTACACCTGCTCTGCATCTCTACCATCACCATTATATTTATAACTTCCATCATATGACCATAACCTCTGGTACTTGGCCATGCGATTCTTCCACCAGTAGGGCTTCACCTCCAATGCCAAGTTCACCACCATGAACATATTTTTCTGCATGTCTCCCACAATCTTGACGATCTGCTAAGCATCAATCATTCATTCCCATGATAGTACTGGCCATAGTATCACAAACCAATATGATCAAGCACCAAATAGCAACGCAGATAATACCATACACTGGGAACAGCAAAGCACATTACATGTCCTCAATTGACTTCACCTGATCTAACAAGTAGCACTATCAGAACATCATGGAGCACAGATCCTTCCCTTCCTGTCTATTCCTCTTTCTCCCTCTTGGGTAAAGCAATAACTGATGAGGCTGCACAGCTTTCCTGTGAACAGTTCAAACCAACAGCATCAACCATCCCCAGTCTCCGCCACAGAGCACATGTCTCTATGGAGGATTTTGTAACATCCTGAAAATCCTGATAATAATAATACGTAAAATCTTGATCTTTTTAAAAACCAGGGCCGACAGATTAGGCCAAAAATCAAGCAGTAGCAGCTGACTTGATCTCCTGCTTGCTGTGCTTGGTGACTTGGTCTAGCATGTTACAGCTGTGGTGACCTGCTCCCACATTACATTGTGGTGGTTGGGTATGACCTAACCACATCAATGTCAGTGACAAGCAATTCATGCTGGGAGCCAACAGTAACCTGGTTGAGGAGTATGTCATGGACAACGATGGTTAAGAGTTTGGCAGAAAGTTGACAATGATGACTTGTGGGGTTGAAACTTCATTTTTAGTGAAAGGGGCTGAAACTTTATGGTGAGTTAGGGTTGGGACCCACCTTTGATACCATGTAGGAATTTGGGAAAATAATTTAGTGTTGTACTTGGAACCCCACTCTATTAATAGTGTTGGCTCTAAAACTAGGATAGACATTCACTCATAGCATGAACAGAGAGCAAGAGAAAAGAGTATAGCAAAGGAGCTACATTTTCACTGATCTCACTGGCATGCCCAAGACCTTTGTTACATAGGGATATATGTCTTTCTATAGGACTTTTAACTTGGTTTCTACAGTAACCGACCTGCTACAGTTACACAATATTACAGCTCATGTTACAACTCATCTAACAGCTCAAAACTAGCTATGCTACATAATATTGGAACTAATTAGTAGTGAAGTTCCTTCTTTCTCTTTGAAACACAACATAGCTCCAACCTATACACCGCTAGCTAGTAAATTTCCATTTTGATTACTCCATGCATGCTGACATAGGTTTTATACAGATAGCTGATCACCAATCCTCTAGTACTTGCATGTTCTAGTTAGTTCTAGTGAAATCTTGAAGCAATTCACTTAGTCTACATGCATTTTACCTTAGTCAAATTAAATTTGACTTCTTCTCAAGAAAACAAATTAATTTTCCAACAAATAGTACTTAGGATTACAGCTGGACTCTAGTATGGATCCATATGGAGCTTTTGACTTTGACTAGAAGTAACACTCTAACTTGTCAAATACCCATGCATTTCATTGAATCTCAAATAAACATATTATATGTTTATCTTCAAATTTTTATTTAAATCCTAGAAGAAAACTTATCTAATTTGTAACAAACAATATCAATCCATAATAACATTATTACAAGCACAGGCTTACAAACGACATACACAAATGATATACTTATTATCCTCGGGAGATCCAACCAGCTCAAAGGTGGTGGAGGAATGCATAGCGACCGCCACCACTAGCTTCTTTTATATAGTAGAGAGACTAACACTTGTTATGGTAGAGTAAGATTCATGGGTTGGGTGGTCCCTGAAAGCTTTGAATAGACTGGTTTCACCAATGTGCCAATGTTCTTATTCATATGCCATTTTTTATTATCTAGATTTGATTGGGCCAATTCTGGAAGGTAATTATAACTCTCTCTTTGTGTTTCAGAAAAACCACCTTTCTGGTTTGAAGAGGAAATATTTGAAGATCCAGTTTGATACCGTACAGCAATTAATGCGTGTGAGAAGTGACCTATTGCATGTTGTTGAAAAGAATGAAGAAGAACTAAATGCTGCAGAGGCATTTGAATCAATTTATGGTGTAAAAAGGTACCTGTAGAGTATAGTATCCATCGCAACAATTATGAGCTAAGATGCTTCTATATAGTATCCGTCTTAATAGTTATGGGCTAAGATGCTCCTATATAGTATCCACCTTTTTAGTTATGGGCTAAGATGCTTCTATGATGTATTTAAAGCTACTCTTGTTTGACTCTTTCCCAGTTAAGTTTGCGGTGAAGTAAATTTAGCTGTCATATGTGTTTTTTTAGCCTATGTTCTGATGATCTTGTACACTATGACAGGGTAGAAAGGCCACAAGATTACATAAATTGCATCATTGATTTGCGTGAATATGATGTTCCATATCATGTTCGTTTTGCTATCGATAATGGTGAGCTTTTTGTTTCTTGATTTGAATTTCTCACATGCTTATTTATCACTAACACTTTTGTTTCTCTAAACTTATTTGCAGACGTGAGGTGTGGACAGTGGTACGATGTTAGCGTATCTAGCTCTGATGTTTTGCTTCACAGAAGGGAAGATCTACTACAGCGTGCAGAAGTTCATGTATGTGCATTTGATATTGAAACCACGAAGCTGCCTCTGAAGTTTCCAGATGCTGAGTATGACACTGTAATGATGATCTCTTACATGATTGATGGGCAAGGATACCTGATAATCAACCGAGAGGTTCCAGATGTTCTTTTCTCTATAATCATTTATCAGATTTCAGCTTACTATGTTCAAATTATGGTTTACAAACATTCTTTTCCTGTATTCACCACCTGCTGCCTGGCTTCAAATAAGACCGATTATCTAGTACTCCCTCCGTTTCATAATGTAAGACTTTCTAGCATTGCTCACATACATATAAATGTTAATGAATCTAAACACATGCATATGTCTAGATTTATTAATATCTAAATGAATGTAGGCAATGCTAAAAAGTCTTATATTGTGAAATGGAGGAAGTAATAACCAATATGCTGTCCATTTTTTTTTTGCTCCAACTTCTGAAGTGACATGCAGTTATCTTTAACCTGCGTGAGAAAACCCTTTGTTTCTTTTTGTGGACTTCTGTGTGTAAAAAAAATACTAAAGGCCAAAATGTTAGTTGCCTTGTATACTTGCCAAATGATTTAATGATCACCTTGCACTCATGATTTCAGCTCGACCTACAATTCCTGATTGCAATTGCAAGATGCAAGTTTTCTAAAAGCAGCATGACATATTAGTTTTTCTGTTCCATGCAGTGTGTAGGGGAAGATATTGAAGATTTGGAGTATACACCTAAACCAGAATTTGAGGGGCATTTTAAAGTTAAGAATGTCGCAAATGAGGTATCAACAAATTTTTATATTTTTGTTCAATACCATTTTGGTTTTAATACACCCTAACTACTTCGTCAACTCCTTTTCATTTTCCCTCTCCATAGTTGGATCTACTCAAAGCTTGGTTTTCTCACATGCAAGAGGTTAAGCCTGGTATTTATGTTACATACAACGGCGACTTTTTTGACTGGCCATTTTTGGAGAAGAGAGCTGCTCATCATGGGATTAAAATGAATGAGGTAAGCTGTTTATTTCTCCTTAGGTGTCATTTCTTTAATACGACTCATGTAGTCCAATATCATAACTATGTAATGAGATGTCCAAAATCTTGGCCAACAAAGTAACTGCAAAAAAATATTATCTAAGTCATCCACAGACCACACTTCTGCAGCTAAGGCAACAAGGACTGGGATATTTTTAATTGCACCCTCTGTGCTGTCTCCTTTCAAAAAACATAAATGCTATGTACATATGTTTTAAATCTGCCTCTGCTGTTTCCTTTCAAAACCATGAATACTATGCACATGTTTTAAATTTGTTTTTGGTTTATATATTTCTTGAAATGCCAAACAATATATGATTTCATATCTTAGTTTTGTACCCTCTTTGTTCTTACAGGAGATTGGATTCCAATGTGATAATAATCAAGGCGAATGCCGAGCTAAATTTTCTTGCCATCTTGACTGTTTTGCTTGGGTGAAGCGAGACAGTTACCTTCCACAAGGAAGTCATGGTCTAAAGGTGATACATTATTTGCTGAAAGCCTAAAAGAAAATTACTTGTTTATTTTGTAACTAAATTTAAGCAACTGGCTATGTCTCAGAACTGAATAACATATCAAACTTGGATTTTTAAAGCAACTACATAATTTTGTAGTGACTGAGTATGCCAAAAAAAATCAGTTAGTGCTTTTTAGATAATCAGTTAGAGGTACCATTTCATTTTTGTTCCATTATGTGCTGCTTATCCTTCTTATTCTGAACAAGATGCTAGTACTTTCACTTTTCTTGATTATTTACTTTCCATTTTCACAATGACAGGCTGTTACAAAAGCTAAGTTAGGCTATGATCCTCTGGAGGTTAATCCAGAAGATATGGTTCGGTTTGCAATGGAGCAGCCTCAGGTGCCTTTAAGTTTGTCTATGATGGGATAGCATCATTATCAAATGAAATGTTTTAAATACATCAGCATATAACAACTAATGCGGAATAGTATAGTTGTACAAATTCTAGTTGTCTTTGTTTAACCTAGCATTTTCAGCTGTTCATTTTGTGTACCCTTTTGTTGGCAGACAATGGCTTCTTACTCTGTATCAGATGCTGTTGCAACATACTATCTATACATGACTTACGTCCATCCATTTATCTTTTCCCTTGCAACCATTATACCTATGTCACCTGATGAGGTTTTACGGAAAGGAAGTGGGACATTGTGTGAAATGCTGCTAATGGTCCAGGTGTGTTGACTGCTTAGTAAACTTTTCTGCCATGTTTTCTACCTTTTGAGCTAATCCTTGCATCTATATTCTGTCTTATGAAACTTTTCAGCTTGCTGACTTCATTTTCTTCTGATATATAGGCATTCAAGGCTAATATTATTTGTCCTAACAAGCACCAAGCTGATCTAGAGAAGTTCTACAATAACCGTCTATTGGAAAGCGAAACTTATATTGGTGGTCATGTTGAGTGTCTTGAAACTGGTGTATTTAGATCTGATCTTCCTACGAAGTTCCAACTTGAACCGTCAGCATGTGAGGTATCCTGACTAATACTATTCTGGAAGTGATACTTAATTTTAGCTTAAATATATAAATCACAGAAGAGATTTTCTGAGCTTTTTTATCTTAGTTACACGTTAATGTTGGCTCAGATTGAAAATTTATGCATGCACATTAGTATATTAACTCAATTGACATTTCTTTTTTCCAGCAACTGATTGCAAATCTTGATCGTGATCTGCAATATGCCATTTCCGTAGAAGGAAAATTAGATATTGATTCTGTCACAAACTACGATGAAGTCAAGGATGCCATTAAACAGAAGGTGTTATTCCAGCGCTATAGCTCATATGTTGCATGAACACCAAGATATTTATTGTTCTTCTAAGTTCTGACTATGGAAATATTATTTCACTATGTTCTGTAATTTGTATCGAGCTTGATTGCTGTGTCAAATTTACAGCTAGTTTCTTTGCGAGATCACCCTATTCGTGAAGAATGTCCACTTATATATCATCTGGATGTTGCTGCGATGTATCCAAATATCATTTTGACAAATAGGCTCCAGGTATTCTCTTGTAGTTTAATAAATACTTTAAATTCAGTTATTATCATAATGGCTGATTTGATAGTTCAACTTTACTTTCGTAAAGATCAAATGTGGTAGATACTGTTAAACATATTTTCCCCTTCCGGTATGGATCTTTTTAAATCCTAACTGTGTGCACTTGCTAACTTGTACTTTGATGAGTGACCTGTATCGATAGTCCACATAAGAAGTTAAATAGGCCATGATATGGTGATTGACATGGTCTAACTAACTTTGCTAGCATTTCTTGTCAGCTAGTAGTGATTTGTTATTGCTATCTGGTTGAGTTGCAGAATCTCTTTGAGCTCTATTTTGCTCAGCCATCATTGCCATATATAGAAAACACAAAGAAGTAATACTAAATTTATGCTGCTGCATTGCCAAAATTTCATGAAGGCACTGCTGAGTTACATGCCCTGACCAATGTGCCCAAAAGATTTAATCTGTCAGGGTAAGGCAGGCTGTCTACTCATATTTCAATCACCACTCAAGTCTAAGTCCCATTCAATCCTATGATGTGGGTTATATGTGGTGCGGTGCCACTGGGACACAATGCAAACTGGTCTCTGGAGTGCATTAACACAATAATTGATGGAGGCACAACATAGCACCTGAATTTTATACTCACAACACAACATACATCTATTTTTTTTCAAACATCAAAATACATCTATTGAGCCTAGGCAGATCTTGAATACTTGAAATAAGGGTCTCTACTCATGCTTTTATACCATATTGAGTTTCATGCGCAGACCAATTCATGGGAAGGCTCAAGTTGTTTAGGAAAGGTCGTTAATGGGTCCATACCAGTTTGAACTTTTCTTGGGTGTTTCTAGTATTAGTTATATGGCTGTTGATGAGAGTCTATGCTGATGAGACAAATAACTAAAGCCTCTTTGTGTCTATTGGCCTAAATTATGAAGGAATTGTTTTCTTTAAGAACATCTGGCTTCTTTTTTGTACATGATTATATAACTTAAACTAACCTTTGTTTTTTCCTTAACTCTTGCTGTATCAGCCACCATCCATAGTTACCGATGTGGACTGCACAGCATGTGATTTCAATCGTCCTGGAAAGAATTGCCTTCGGACGCTTGAATGGGTATGGCGAGGAGAGACCTACATGGCAAAAAAGAGGTATACTCTAGGAATCTATATACTTTGAAGTTGATATATTTACTGATCTAACAATATTCTGCTTTTTAGTGACTATCATCATATAAAGAGGCAAATTGAGTCAGAGATGATTCAAGCTGGTGGGGTGACACCTTCAAAGCCTTTTCTTGACCTCTCAAAACCAGAGCATTTACTAAAACTGAAGGATCGTTTGAAGAAGTACTGCCAAAAGGTGATATATTAAAATGCATGGATTAATTAAACCTTTTTGGTGGCTTGCAATTACTATACTTTTGTCCCAATGCAGGCATATAAAAGAGTAGTTGACAAACCAATTACAGAAGTGAGGAACGCTGGAATATGCATGCGTGAAAATTCCTTCTATGTAGACACAGTACGAAGGTCCGTCTGATGTTTATTAGTATATTTTAGTGTACTATGTTCATTGGATAGTTCATGGATATGTAACAGTGATTTCTATTTTAGCTTCCATAATAGCTCTTAGTGGAGCAAAGTGCAATTTTCTGGTTGATAAACATAGCATTGTTGGCTAATGCTTTCTTCAAGGTGCTCTAAAATGTGTACTTTGTTTGAAAATTCCAGCTTTCGTGATAGAAGGTATGAGTACAAAGGTCTTAACAAATCATGGAAAGGAAAACTGGCAGAAGCAAAAGCCAATGGAAATTCTATCAAAATTCAGGAAGCACAGGTTCACAATGCATTATTATATTATACATCAAGAAAATTAGATCAATACCATCACAAATGTGCAATTTGGAAAATGCCATCTATTATAAGGATGACATGTGGGGTCTGTGGCCACATGCCAGTAACACATTGGATAGTATTTTCCAACTAGGTGATTTTTGTGATGGTATCAATCAATATTATTCATTTTAGAGTTAGAGGTCTATCATGTGTTTCAGGAATTTTGAGAACTTTTTTGTTGCTACTCCTAATGATTTTTGCAGGACATGGTTGTGCTCTATGATTCGTTGCAACTTGCCCACAAGTGTATATTGAATTCGTTTTATGGATATGTTATGCGCAAGTAAGTGCAATTTATATAGAGAACATACTTTTTGTCTTTATGTACTATGATAAGGTAATGGCTAGGGCTTTCTGATTTAGGGGTGCAAGATGGTATTCTATGGAAATGGCTGGTGTTGTTACATATACTGGTGCAAAGATTATCCAAAATGCTCGTCTACTTGTAGACAAAATTGGAAAGCCACTGGAACTAGATACTGATGGCATTTGGTGTGTTCTTCCTGGTTCTTTTCCAGAGAACTTTACCTTCAAGACAAAGTGAGTACACTAGAACAAATAAAATGGTTTTCCTACAAGTAATTTGTTTATAATATATCTGAGATTTCATATTTATGCTATCATTAATTTTCATGACTATCTAGTGTTTCTGATGACTGTTTTGATTGAAGCAATAGATGAATGTAGAGCTTGCCTTGCTGGACTAATGTAACATTAATCCTTATTTGTCTACTTTATAATGTATAAAGGGCTTTTTCATGACCTGAATTTTGAATTTGGTGCATATGTTAGTGGCAAGATATTTTAGTGTACAACTAACATACTTCTAAATGATCAGTGTAGTTAAAGCCTTAGGTGCAAAGAGAAAAAAAGCCTGTGCCTTAGACTCTTGAAGTGCAATTATAAAAACATGAATGTTTACCCCTAGCAACGAAGCTTCTTGAAGCTATTATGACAAACAAATAGTTAAGAAATATATAATGTGTCGTAATGTGAGATTAGCAAACTGCAATTGAACAAGTCTTAGGCTGCTCTATTATACATAGTATACTTCTTTCTAAGATAGATAGAACAAGTGAGTGTGTTGTTGGGCCATATTTTGGGCCCATAGGCCAATATCCCTTCTCTAGTTTCTATTCTTTCTACCTGGCAACTAGAGGAGGCTGGAGCGAGCTTAAGCCCTCAAGGCACGCAATTCGCTAATGGTGCTGCACCTGACACTATTCAAGGCGATTCAGCTGCACTGCCCCTTGCTTTTGGGCCTGTTTGTGGGGAGCTTTAGATCCTATGAAGCAGCTGGTAGGAATCTAGTTGGCTTCTGGCTTCTCGTTCATTTTCTAGATTCTGCAACTACAGCTTCTTAGAATCTGGACAAAAAGCTGGATTGTTTAGGGGAGTTTATAATTATGGGAGAAGCTGCAGCTACCAAAAGCTCTTCCAAACAGGCCCTTTATACCTAGGCGACCGCTTTTTGTGCTTTTGGCTGCGCTCAATTACTACTGCTTCTAGTCCAAATACTAGGTAGTTGGTTTGACTTCGCACATTGTCCAACACACCGGTTTGACTACTCATTCTCATTATAACATGCTAGTAAAACAAAAGGTTATGTGCTAGTAAAAGAAAAAAGGTCTTGATTCTACAAACTAAAATATTTTTTTATGAGTGATTTATTTTATGTGTCCAAATCTAAATATGGAAAATATGTTAGTGGCCAAAATCGAAGAATGTTTGCTCACGTGAGTCATAAATACATTGATTTTTGGACTGGATGTAGACATGTATGTGAACTGACTAATTTATCAAAATTAATTCTAAGTGGTCATTTATGTAGTGTTCAAGGTGAATGCTCCGATGCTAAGACTTCATATGCAAATCTCTATGTTAACACTTGTCACTGATGTTTCAGTGCTGGGAAGAAGCTCACGATATCCTATCCCTGTGTGATGCTTAATGTTGATGTTGCGAGAAACAACACTAATGATCAATATCAAGTAAGGAATACAAGTGTTATTCATAAAGTTATTACATATTTAGAATGTGTTATTTTGCTTACTGACTATTGGAAAGTTGTTCACTGATTGATTTGTTTATTATCCTACCAGACATTGAATGACCCAGTAAATAAGCTATATACAACACACAGTGAATGTTCCATTGAATTTGAGGTAGATGGACCTTACAAGGTAAAGTACTCTAATGGGATCAGTGCTTGCGCTATACACTTTTCAAGTCTGAGTAGCTGATCTAATCTTTGCACAAATGCCACAATGCATGCTAAAATAACAGGCTATGATTCTACCTGCCTCTAAAGAGGAAGGGGTTCTTCTAAAGAAAAGGTATGCGGTCTTTAATGAAGATGGTACCTTGGCAGAACTTAAAGGTTTTGAAATCAAGCGTAGAGGTGAGCTGAAGCTCATCAAAGTTTTTCAGGTATGTGCTCCCTTTCTGTATCACTTGCTACTAGTCTTTGTTGCAAAGAGGGATACTGGGACTTTGCACTAGTTAGTTTGGCCAGTTTATTTATTAATTCTTATTTTTCTCTGTAGGCAGAGGTATTTGACAGATTTCTTCATGGTTCAACTTTAGAGGAATGCTATACAGCTGTTGCTTCTGTTGCTAATCGTTGGTTAGACCTACTGGATGTGAGTGGTTTGTAAAATTTTGAATGATATGCTCCAAATTCTAAACAATCCAACTGGATTGCATTGTTAAAGTACATTTTTCTATTGCAGAACCAAGGAATTGATATTTCCGACAATGAGTTGCTTGATTTCATATCTGAGTCTAGCACAATGAGTAAATCCCTAGTTGACTATGGAGAACAAAAATCATGTGCTGTAACAACAGCAAAAAGACTAGCTGAATTCCTCGGGGATTCAATGGTAAAAGACAAAGGGCTGCATTGCCAATACATAGTTGCCCGGGAGCCACAGGTAAGTACTGAATAGTTCAACAATTAACATCATGCACTTACCCATTCCTTTAAATTTTGATAGTTACGGTACCATATTTCAATTTTGGATAGTCACGGCATGTTCCTTTCAGTGGGCAAATATTCCCTTTATTTTGTTTTCATGGAATTTGTTTATTCTAGTTTTCATGATTTGGCTTGCTTTTTTCCAATATTCCTACTGCTTTGTTGACTTGCTGAAATCATGTAGGGCACTCCAGTGAGTGAGCGTGCTATTCCAGTAGCTATCTTTGAGACGGATGCTGGTATTATTTTACCTTCAAATCATGTTTTTGCAAGAGCCAAACTTTTCAATCACTTACATTCTCTTGCTATCCTTGTATCTTACAGAAATTGCAAAGTTTTATTTAAGAAAATGGTGTAAAATCTCCTCTGAAGCGAGCATCCGATCTATTGTTGACTGGTCTTACTATAAGCAACGCCTAAGCTCTGCTATTCAGAAGATTATAACGATTCCTGCAGCAATGCAAAAGGCAATATATTTTTTACTTGTTACTTTGATTATATTATATACTTTTTACTTGTCCCCTTTGATTTTCCATGACATTTGTGAAATCATGTTGCTACAGATTTCGAATCCTGTTCCTCGAGTTCTTCATCCTGATTGGTTGCACAAAAAGGTCAGAGAGAAAGATGATCGATTTCGCCAGCGCAAACTACGTGATATGTTCAATCCTTTGGAGAAGGACAGGGGGGTGCAGAATTTGGATGGGACAGGAGATATGGAAGATTTATTAACGCTGGATGGTGGTATGAGAAAAAGTCATGTACCCAATGGTTTTGGAAAAGAAAATAAACCAAACGACGCACCATCAACAGAAGCTGGTTCAAAGCATAGCAAGAATAAACAAAAATCTATAACTAGGTCAAATGAACCCCTTGCCGTACATATTCAAAATGATGCTGCTGATGAACAAGTTGATAGAAGTACTGATTATCAAGGATGGCTTGATGCTAAGAAGAGAAAATGGAAATATGTTCGTGAGCAAAAAAAGCGTCAAAGGTATACAAATTTATGTTGTACACAAATTCCAACTAATTTATGCTTGTAAATGATACTCCGTTCTACATTTTAAGATGTTTTGGTCTCTTCATCCTTGTCTAGATTCACTAACATCCATGTAAATTTGGACACATGAACATAGGATCTATGCATATCTATTCAAAACCCAAAACATCTTACAATGTGAAACGGAGGAAGGACTTATAGATTCAGTTCATTTAGCATTTTGTTCCTCTCCTAGCTCTCAAACAGACTACTAGACTAATCCTGGACTTGACTTCAAGTTTGTCATAGTAATATGTAGCGGTTTTAGGCTGATGATAGTAAGCTTACATTTTGCCAGCGTGAATCAGCCTTTTGAGCATCGCATTACCTTATAAATCCTAAGTTACATTGATATGATGGACTGGTGACTATTTTTCTTTGTATTGTCACTGTTAATATAATGGAGATTACACTAAGTAAACTAAACAGCTAATGGAGGGAAGTCAATGTTTATGTTTCCTTTTTGCATTTACCAGGTTGGGTGCTGCAGTCACTTCTGATGGTCCCACCAATGATTTGTTTTCTGCAAGGAATGTCGGTCAGTTACATGGCAATGCTAGGAACCGGTCTACATTTTTCCAGAAACAAGAATTGGCCCTCTTTAGATCACATTGGCAGGCATGCTACTTCTGCTATTCTATTATGCTATGTAACATCTATGTTATGATATTAATCTTTCAGTAATATATTCATTTACTTTGATGCCTGACAAGCTCATATATTGCCCACATCAGATAATACAGCTTGCTTCGAGTACATTGCCTGGCCACTTTTTTGCATGGGTTGTTGCTGAGGGGATCATGTTCAAGATTCCTATCAATGTGCCAAGAGTCTTTTACCTAAACTCGAAAGCTCCTGTCACAGAAGAGTTTCCAGGGAGGCGTGTAAAGAAGATTCTTCCACATGGAAGGCCATGTTTCAATCTCATTGAGGTGAAAATGTGAACAATATTTGCAAAATAACCAGGGGTGCAACTTGTCTTGTTTAAGAGAACATACTAACTGCTAAAATCCAGGTTGTAACTAGTGAAGAACAGTTCAGGGTGGAGGGCAAAAAGCTTGCTGCCCATCTTGCAGAGCCAGATGTTGAGGTTAGTAGACTTGTGTATGTGAGATGTAATCTTGTATGTTTTTCTTGTATCTACCTTATAACGTTGGAATTGCATCTAGGGAATATACGAGACGAAAATTCTGCCAGAGCTCAATGCCATTCTCCAAATTGGTTGTGTGTGCAAAGTGGATAAGTCTGCAAAAAGACGAAGTATCCAAGATGGATGGGATCTTGCTGAATTGCAAATGAAGACAACTGCAGAGTGTTCATACCTGGAACAGACCGTTTCATTTTTCTATCTATACCACAGGTAACCTTTTATGAGAACTTTGTAAATAGGTAATGCAGTATCCAGTCTAGCTTTTGCAATGGATTGTTATTTTTATACTCTGGAATACTATGGTACTATTGTCCATTTCTTTTCTTTATTGACATTCTATGTACTTTGAGTTCATTTATTCAAGCGCTATTATTACAGAGTCAAATACTAGTTCTTTTGTATGCTCTCTGGGTCCCAAGATTGCTCTTCCTAGCAGTTATTTGTGATAATTAATCCATGTTTATGCTCCTAAATGTATGGTAGAATAAGCATAAGTTACTCCTACCTGTATTTTACTAACCAATATTTGAAACCTTGACTGCACTCATACTTGATATATGGTTGTTTTGATTTGGAAACTGATCTATGGATTCTCTTATTTCCAGCTTGTCAGAAGGAAGGGGTGTATATGTCATGTACTTCCCTACATCTTTCAGAATACATGCAGTGGTTGTCAATCCGTTCCGCAATAAAGAGCTATCGCCATCATTTCTTGAAAAGCAATATCGAGATGCTTGTCAAGCTCTTGGCTCTCTGCATGAAAACATCACTTTCCTTGTAAGAATGAATTATCGTATCTGAATAAAAAAAAATTGCACGTGCTGGTTTAGCATGCTAACTTCTGACTATTTGATTCCTTCCATAGGTGGATTACCACACATCAATTGATGCAGGTAGCAAGCATGTGCAAAGAATGTTACTTGAATACAGGTATATCTCTTTCCGAATATTTCAACAATTCAACTTTTTTGTTGACTCTCCTTTTTCTGAGCTATGCATACTTTATTGAATTGCCTGAAGTATTTACCAGCTATAAGCAGGGTTCTGGATCAGGCTCTGTTTTTTAAGATAGTGTTTAGGACATCTGTCCAACGGACATGTCTGATAAACTTTTTCTAACCATGTATAAAAAAAATATTAAAAATATAATTAGATGAAAGTATTTTTCTTGAGAAATCTACCAATGCCATTTCACATATTAAATCTTAATATTTTTCCATTTATTATCGAGTTAATATTTGAGGTTTGAGTGCATCCATTGTAATCATCTATTTGCGAGTGGAGGGATCACTTTTAGAGAGGTGAACTGAACCAAGGTACCAATAATATGGACCAGACTGACCAGTTTGTAATTCAATACTTTTGTCTGGATTTTGAGTTTTGGTAGCAACCAACTGATTTTTGAGAGGTAGAGTACAATTCTTGCACTACTCGTATGATATTAACTTTAGTCTGTTGCTTACTGTAAACTGCATCAAGCAGTATGAAAATTCACCATGTAAGTGCATAATGTCATTTGTTTTACTTACAATGAGCTAAATGAAATATTTTTCAGACAACAACATCCTGGACCTGTCATAGGCGTCATAGAATGCCCTAAACTCCAAGCTCTAAAGTCAGCTGTACGGGCACTTGATGATTTCCCGTGTGTAACCATTCCTTGCAATGCACGGGATAACAACTATCAGGTACATAATGGGACACCATTTCTTACACTTCTACTTTCATTTCTTTCTACCTATCTTGTTTTTCTTAATCGTATTCGTCCAGGCTCTTGGTTGGCAAGCGACAGCTGGTAGAACAAGCATGCAACGTTGTGCTGCATCAACCCAATGGTTTAATGAAAGAATTTCACTTGCTAGATATGCACATGTAAGCATATAGTCTAGTATGAATTCCAGTAAGTTATTTAAGTACATATAAAAATGAGATGACCATCAATGCTTATGGAAACAGGTCCCATTGGGAAACTTTGAACTGGATTGGCTTCTTTTCACCGCTGACGTGTTCTTTTCAAGGGCATTGCGTGATCAACAGCAGGTTTGTCATATATGGAGTCAATGCAAATTTGTGTTTCTTTTTTCCCTTTCTAGATGTATGTGTGCATTGCCCACATTCATATATATGTTAATGAATCTAGACATATATATGCGTTTAGATTCATTAACATCTATGTGAATGTGGGCAATGATAGAAAGTCTTATAATATGAAACGGAGGGAGTACATTAATATCTCCTTCAGTGAATGCCAGAGCTCCTGGCCAAAATTTTAAAACATGATGAAGCTGAGGTGTGGGGAAAACACCCTCTCTGAAACCACCAGGAAGGGAAAGAACTGCCATTGCCTTTTGGGATCCAGTCTTGAAGAAATTCTACCTTAGGCTTAGTGAAATCTTGATCAGATTGATTTTATGTGCTAAAATTCGTTGGCCCTTGCTGTCCCTTGACTCCCTTCTCAGAATCATGTGCACAGAAATAGAAGAAATATAAATTATCCGGCAGTTATTATGGTATGGATCTTTTCTGAAATGTTTAAGCTTCTTACTAACTTTCTACTTGTGGTAGGTACTATGGATATCTGACGATGGTATTCCCGATTTAGGAGGCACATATGAAGGAGATACTTGCTTTGCTGATGAAGTAAGAAGCCTTTATTTCCTAAGGTTGCATGGTGCTTATCATTTACTGTTTCTGTGCTGCTTTACTAAATATGACTTAATTTTACAGGTCATCCAGCCTGCTCTTACTTATCCTGGTGCGTATAGACGAGTTGCTGTTGAGCTTAAGGTAAGCCTTTTCAACATACAATAAAGTATGGCATGCTTATTTTGTATCTTCTGGCAATTGAATTACATGTGCACATATTTCTTCCCCAGATCCATCATTTGGCTGTCAATTCTCTCCTAAAGAGCAGTCAAGTAGATGAAATGGAAGGAGGGCCGATCGGTAGCTTTGCAAATGACATGCCTGCTGGTCCAAATGGCACTGAAACTGAATTCGATGATGCTACCTTATGTCTACCTGCTTTCCAAGTGCTGAAGCAACTCATTCAGCGATGCATTTCAGATGCAGTATCTTCTGGAAATGTGTTTGCTGATGCAATATTGCAACATCTCTACCGTTGGCTTTGCAGGTAATTATTTATGTGTTTGCACTGGACCAGTTATTATTCCCTCTAGTAAAAAATGCATGCCATTTGAACAAACATGCAGCTGTACTTTTGAAACTTTGAGTATCAATATCTTAAATATTTAAGCTAGAAACACGAAAAATCATATCTAGAGATTAGTCTCTAAAAATATTATGATTTTATTGGGTTTTATGAATGTATACAATATCAATTAGTTATGAAAGTTGGACTTTGGATACTGCGTTGATACTGAATATGAAATGTATTCATGACCAGAGGGAGTGAATTTTTTTTTTAACTTTATGTGTTCTTAGCATGTTGATGTGTGTGTTTTTTCAGCCCACGATCGAAACTTCATGACCCAGCTCTCCATCATCTTCTTCATAATGTAAGCTATGTAACTAAGTGCACTGTCCTTTCTTTTGTTGATATTGCGAATCTTCTTGTCGTTCTGGTTACAATAAATATCTTTTTCTATTCATAATCATCTTACCTTTATTAGTTTTCTTGTCTAACTTTTCTTATCATGTCTTCTCTTTTGGATTATCAAACTTAATCAGGTCATGAAGAAGGTCTTTGCTCTCATGTTGGCAGAGTTTCGAAAGCTTGGAGCTAATGTCATCTTTGCGAACTTTTCTAAGATAATAATAGATACTGGAAAAGTTGACCTGTTGTCAGCACGTGCATACTGTGATAGCTTACTGAAAACATTGCAGACAAGGTACTGTTTGACCTCCCCCTGCAAATTTGAATGGGGTATCTCTTAGGTGAAACTAAAGTTATTTGTTTTAGGGATATTTTTGAGTGGGTGGAGCTGGAACCTTTGCATTATTGGCACTCCTTACTTTTCATGGACCAGGTTTGTTCATTTCGTTGCTGCCACAAATGAATTGTTTTATTCATTTTGCCCTTATAGAGTATGTTTTCACCTTCCATATTTTGTTTTGGTTCAGTATAACTATGGTGGTATTCAGGCTAAAATGCAAAATGCAACATCTGAGGGCAGCTCAGATGGTGATAACGATATCGACATCGTCTCAAGCTGGAACATAGCAGAATACCTGCCTAAAGCTACACAAGTCAGTTTTTTTAAGTCATTCTAACACTTGTTTGCTTCTGCTTGCTGACTGCAACTTTGGCGACTATCCTGGAATTAGAGTATTTGCTACTTTTCTGTAACATTTCCTTCCAAAAATTTCAGGATCACTTTGTCTTAATTGTATCGGAGTTTTTGTATGTTCCATGGAAATACATGAAAGAACAAGTAGCTCTTCGATCAACTACAAGGGATGAGACCTCATGCACACCATCTATAACAATCATGGCTGCTGAAAACCTTGAGGTTCAAGTCATAGGATATCTCCGTGATCAGGTGATTTTGTGGCTCTATAGTGCAATCTTAAATTGGTAACCAGTAACCATCTCCCAGTTAAATGAAAATGACTTGGTAGGAGCTACCACATTCAATTCTGAGAGGTTAGAAACTGTTATGTCAATTGGAAAAAAAAAGGAGAAAAATCTAGATTATTTGAAAATTGGTCAGATTTTGACATCTGATCTGTTTCAGTTGAAATATATTTTCAATCATAGCAATTAGAGTTGTATAAAAAATAAAATGTAAATACTGCAGTATCTAGTGTGGGTAATTCAGATAGTTTTTATAACAATTTGTTAGTCAAAGGTTATAAGAAATATATATGATGGGTTATGATGAAACTATCCAAGGTCAATCTTAATAGTCTGTTAAAAAGTTCAAATTTGAAATGCATGTTGCTCAATGTCAAAGTATATACTACCTCCGTCCTAGAATATAAGGATTTTTAGGGTTGGACATGGTTTTTTTTAGAACATGCAGGAGATCTGCGTATCACTTCATTAAGATAGAGAAGAAAAGGTGTACGGTGTTAGAGAAAAACTCTGACACCCACCCATCAAGGATACAACAGAATACCATACACCCAAAGGAAAAAAAAACACAAACTAGTGCAATAGCAGCCAAGTCCTAGTAAAGAGATCACGAAGCCTAGCAGCTCCTGCTAGGCACCAAAGAGCGCCCTCATTAGCGATGTCTCGGAGGACATCGGCCAAGCATGGGGAAGCGCCATTAAACACACAATGTGATTGGATGAGAAGTGGAGGTAGGTGGCAAAATTGAATGGTGGAGGGTTGTGATTGGTTGCGGAGAGAATGTTGGTGAAGAAGTTATATTTTGGGACAAGTCCTGAAGGCTAAAAGTTGTTATGTTTTGGGACGGAGGGAGTATATATTAACATTGGGACTGGGATTATCATCTAGTGCGACTAACATACACAACTTTAATCTGAATTCCATATCTGATATTGCAGATAAGTAATTACTTTGCAGACAAGCTTCTCAGGATTGTAAGTGATATACTTCATCATTTCAAAGGAAAAGGCAAGTCCGAATCAGTTGAACTTACAAACAGAGAACCTGATCCTCACACACATAAGGGAGATGCTGCATTAGAGTTCATTAAGCATATATGTGCTGTTCTTGCTCTTGATCAGAATGTTCAGCATGATATTCTGGTAATTCGCCTCTTAATCCATTGTGAACTGATGGTAACTGCTTTTACTGTAGAACTTGTATCCAAAAATATAATATTTTCTTTCACTGATGTGCTAAATGAGGATCCACTGTTCAAAATATATGTTGTGGTTTTGTGGAACTGCATGTATATCTTTTCACACCCATATTTCTATCTCTTCAAAACATAGGAGTTTCCTGCCTTGATTTTTGACAGTTTTTATTACAAAATTGAAGTATCTAAATTCTAAGAAAACTGTGCCACGACCTGACTTGAAAAATATCTGACAGAGAATGAGGAAGAACTTGTTAAAGTTAGTTCGTGTAAAGGAGTTTGCTCCAGAAGCACAGTTCCAAGATCCATGTGCCTCATTCACTCTCCCCAATGTGATTTGCAGGTATTACCTCTAAGATAAATTGTAGAAACTGTTTATTTGATTTCCATATAATCAACATTTTAAGATGTAAACATACGTCTATGGATACAACTGTGACCGATTCACTTAGGTCAGGTGTAGGTGATGCCATTTGCTGTAAAAGCATTATTGATTGCCATTTTTTTAAGAGTCAAAGAAAGTTATGGATAACAATATTATTGAAAACATGGTAATGTTTTGGAAGAAGGAAAATAAACTAGGTCAAAATTATTTTTTCCAAAATATGGCATGCTTTTGACTATATGTAATCATGTACTAGCTACTATTTTGTACTACCTGCCTACCATGGCTTATTCCAATTCGTAAAATTCACAAGTTTGTAAGTATTGGGCTGGTGAATAAGCACTAGTTTTCATCAACCCTTGATGTTACTAATTCTTACGTAACAACATCGTGTTTGCAGCTATTGCAATGATTGTCGGGATCTTGATCTCTGCCGTGATTCAACACTCCAAGGTCAGGAGTGGAGGTGTGCTGTGCCGCAGTGCGGGCAGCCATACCATCGTGAACAGATGGAAAATGCACTTCTACAGGTAGTCCGTCAGCGAGAGAGGCTCTATCACTTGCAGGATTTGGTCTGCCTCCGCTGCAGGCAAGTGAAAGCGGCACACTTATCTGAGCAGTGCTCCTGTGGAGGTGCATTCCGGTGCAAGGAAGAATCATCGCAATTCCTCAGCAAGATGCGGGTTTTCCTAAATGTTGCGGTCAGTCAAAAGTTCGAGCTGCTTCAGGATGTTGTCCAATGGATTCTAGAGGTCAGATGATGTTTATCACTACATTAGTTAACTTGACATAATATAGTTGATCTCTGATTTTGACCAGCTTACATAGACCAGTGCAGCAAACATTGTACAGAAATGGGTGTATAGCAGTACACTTGCAGTTTTCCATATTGTACTGTATTTTTTATTTTGGCTCTTTCATGCTGTTCAGTAGAACTAGATTGTCCCATCCTGTTTGGATGGGGCTTGACCTGCCAGAAGTGGTATCGAGGGTTACTCAAGGTGTATGTAGCTGTAACGTTAGTGCCAGCCTTCAACCCTGATTGTATATCGAGAATTTGTCTGTTTCACATATTTAAATGTGAGCTGATTCATCTTTATGTTGGATTTGTGTTCCTTTTTTTAATTGTTTGATTGATGCAGATATATTGCCATCAAAAAAAGTTGATGCCGATATAATTGTGTAGCCATCTTATATGCCTCTGAAGTTAACACCTGTCGAGTTGTGGCGTCCAGACGTCATGGTTGTTTGGTTGGGTGGGCTATCATTACTGTACACAGGGAAATGTAATCCCGGCAGGCTAGGCCTGGATTTTCTTCAGGTCGGCATGCAATCTGACCTCAGCCGCAACTTGCCCCAAGCCATATTGTAATTCCTTGTCTTATTTCCCGAATCCATTTATACTAGATCCCTGCTAGAAGTATTTCTGTGAGCATTGTCAAACTTGTCCTCTTGTTTGCGATGACGATTTGTTGATGTCTCTGACATTTCTGTAGAGGACAGAGAACGCTGAGGTCATTTTTATTGTATCATAATGGCAATGATTGTGTCCTGCTACCGTTTTAGAAATCCAGAGCATCTCCAAGGGCAGCAAGTGGCAGGTCAGAATAACCTGTGCCTCATGCACGAGGCCCAACTCAACCGCAGAAGATGATCAACTGGTCTTCAGATTTTATACGGATCAAGTTGTCTTTAGATTAGACTTTCGTGTGATATTGACTTGTTCATATTGGTAGTATTATTTTTTTTGCTATTGGCTCTCGAAGCAGAGTAGGAGACGGCTAGCTCAAGAAAAGCCTTTCATTTTGCGTAGTCTCTCCTGGTCGAGGCTGAGTTGTCGAGTTCAGACTCCGGGGAGGCTCACCAAACGGTTGACCTTGAGATCCAAGAAGAAAAAACCGATGCACGCATTCATCAAATGAAGAGCTAGCTTCTAAATAGTTTTTTTTTTGGCAGCTTGCTTGAAATCAGATGCAAAAGGGCGCACATCACCACAAAAGATAGAGTAAAACTAGTTGAAATTCAGAACTGAGATTCACTATAGTCTTTTTATTCATAGTGATTCACAGTTAACACTGAACAAAACACCATGCATGTACATGCATCGATCTTTTATCGACTTAGGGGTTGGTTGAACACGCATGAGATCACTCACACATACAAAACTACGATTACAGAGATACATCGAACGCGACATGGAAACAAACGTTGACATGAACAGTTGAACTTGAACACCCCTACCCTATCACAGTCATAGCATAGCAAAGCAAGCAAGCAGGTGAACAAACCTCTCTCTGCATGCGCCCAACACGTGCCTACTATAGTACTTACAAGCAGACAGCAAATTGATTAACTAAGGACGGGCACGACGAGATCGCCGGCGATGGCCGGCGTCGCGAGAGATGCCGAGACATCGATCACGAGCGGCCGGCGACGAGGAGCCTCGCCGGGGTGCTCATCATCTGGTACCCCTGGTGTTGGTGGTGGTGGCCGTGGCCCCCGTAGCCCCTGCCGCTGCCGGCGGCGGCGGGACCGCCGAAGCGCGCGCCGCAGCGCGGGGACGCGGCGGGGTCGGCCTGCTCCATCTCCCACATGACGTCCATGAAGGCGTCGACGTCGCAGGGGAGCTCGAGGGGGCCCTCGCACCCGGCGAACCCGTACTCCGTCTCCGCCTGGTCCAGCAGAGCCCGGAACAGCGGGTGGTTGGCGCACCGCGCCCGCACCGCGAACCGCTCCTTCTCCGGCCCCACCAGCACCGCGAAGAACCCCGCCGGCACGGCCGCGCCGCCGTAGCCGCCGCCGCCGGCGGCGGAGGCGGGGCGCCTCGTTGTCCGGTGCCCCAGCGACGACCGGCACCTGTCGATCGTCTTGGCCAGGATGTTCCTCCTCTCCCCTCCTCCTCCTCCTCCTTCCTTCATCGTCGTCGTCGCCGCGCGCAGCGAACTATGCACAAATTAAACTAACAGCTGACACAAACTACTAAGCTCCTCTTCGTGTTCAAGAACTCGAGCGATGGAACACAGAATGATTATGAACGCTAGTAGCAGCTACTCGCTAAGCTAGCCGCGGTCGTAGGCCTGGTGGAGGCGGGACATGTCCTCGGTGGGCTTGGGCGCGAGGAGGCGCAGCGCGTTCCTGATCTCGACGTCGGTGCAGCGGTTCATGGCTCCTTGCGACGAGGCGTCGTCGGCATCGGCGACGGAAATTAACTAACTAGCAAACAACGATCAGGCTGGTTGCCGCTGATCGATTCAAGGAGATCGAGGAGGCAACGAGAGAGAGAGAGCTAGCGATCGAGGAGGAGTTAATTGAAGGGGTTGTTCAAATGGAGGGCGAGGAGAAGGCGAGCGCGCGAGCGCCTCCGCTGGTTTGTCGTGCGGCGTCGAGTCGTGGAGAGAGGAAATTAACGGTTGAGAGCAAGGTTGGCTCGTGCGTCTCTGGATCGAGGGTGGGGGGTGGCAAAGGTGCGAGCGAGCTCGAGCGAGGGGTGGGGCGAATAAATAGAGGGAGGAGGGCGACGACTTTGAGCTAAGCGGCAAGGACGTATACGCTAGTACTAGCTACGTACTCCTATATAATATGGCCGGATCTAGGTTCAGATCCATCTTTTCTAGAGCCGTGGCATAACCAAACAATTTTAAATCCATATAAAGGAGAGAAGTGGAGCAGGCTTTACTGATCTCAGTAAAATAAACTAGAGAGCTAGGTGAAGCAAGGGTTTGGCGCGCTTCACAAATTCTACTCTAAGTATGCTCTTGAAGTTATTTTTAAGAGCTGTAGCTCTGCTAAATGGATCCATGTATATACTCGTGAGCATACAACAGCTAGGTAGTTAGACACTGTATTTTTATTTTTTAAAATTAAACTTCTTTAAGATATAATAAGTACTCTACTTGTATTACTATATATTATACCAGTATTATGGTCTTAGAAATAGTTTTGGTAGTTATTTTCTAAGTTGTAGTACCAATGAAAGAAAATATTCTACTACGTTTATATCAGTAGTTGATATGATAGTATAAATATATGGGGACATATCCGGTGAAAACCATCAAATAAGTGAAAGCCCGTGAAACCATATCTAAAAGTTTTTAAATTCATGAAAAAATTATAAGAGATAGGTATACACATAAAGTACATTCATACCAAATCTCAAGTCCAAACTCAACTTCATTTGGGAAAAACAAAAAAACAAATTTGAGGTGAATAATAACATAACACTATTCATACGAAATTTGTCTTTTTTTTTCTCTCAAATGAAGTTAAGTTTGGACTTGAGATCTGGTATGAATGTATTTCATGCCTATACCTACCTCTAGTAATTTTTTTATGAATTTACAAAACTTTTAGATATGGTTTTCACGGGTTTTACTTATTTGATGGTTTTCATTGGATATTCCCCCGTAAATATACATGACATCTATATTAAGAAGAAATAAACAGTACACTTCTACCAGAGAATATCATAGAACACCTCTTATAAAAAAACATGACAACATCTACAAACATAGATTTAATCCACTAAATCCATAACTAAATATGTTTTATAGTGAATTTATTTTTATTAGAAGTTATGTTATATTTTCTACAAACTTAATTAAATTCTATTTGATAAACCTAAAGTACCATATAAATTAGTAACTAATACGGATGGAGCAGAGGGAGTAGCTTAGCTACAGGCTCTAGCTTGCCGACGTATATGTGTTTGCATGGCGGATTGCCATATACTATATTGTACTACTAGCTAGCTAGCATAAGGCCGGGGGCGTGCGTCAGCGGGGCGGGGCGGCGTGTCGTGGATACGGAGAGCCGGAGAGGAGAGGACGGTGTATGCGGCCGGGGATGACCGGGGGCGTCGCCAACCCGGTCGACGGGTCCAAACGCTACACAACGATCGACGTTGCCATCGATCATCCATATGCGTGATGCATGCAGGAGGAGGGATATCGAATAGTTAAGTACCATCTGTTAACTGGGAGTTGATTGGACTTGAAAGAAATCAGGTCAATCTTATCTAGAAATTAATCGGTTTCAATTTTGTTGTATTTATGGCTCCGCGGGTTAGTCTCTGCTGATAAGGATATGGTGATCAAGCCTTTTGGATAGGTTCATATAGGAGTAAAGTATGCGTGTGTACGTTTACAGGAATGAGTATGCACACATGTGTGCATTTATATGGATAAGTTATAAATGCACATATGTATATATGTGTCTATGTTTGTATTGTGTTAAATATGTATGATGATGAGGCTCTTTCATTATTTCATTACATAAGAGTGTATGCAAGAGGGGAAAGATGATGTTGTTTTATTGGATTATTATAATAAGGGTATATAATAGTGAAGACTGTCGTGTTATTATATGGTTTAGAATAAGTGGTATAATTAATATAGTAAAAATATTTTGTTTTAAAAAACATGAAATAAATAATCCACAGTAATAATAGAACGAATAAGCAGAAAGGAATATGATCTAAGGAATATGATCTATGTTGCAATAACTATGTCACTCTTCCTTAGAAAAAAACAGACAATGCAAGTACACTCTCATATCCTAGCTGGCAATAATTGTGAACAGACATCTCCAGTAAATGGATAAGCACAAATTGTGTAAAAGAATGGAGTGACAAAGTAGTCAACTGTTTGTTGCAAGTAAACGGGGCATTATTTAAACAATCATTCATCGTGTAGGGGTTAGTCAACTATGATTCTATCTTATCATTGGAGTGCGTTTTGGGATACTATATATGTGATGCACGACTGATTAGTTATACATGCCAGTCTTCTATTTGATAATATGGAAATATTTGAATATAATGGTTTTTTCATTGCAAATCTGCAATACGTTTGTCCCCTAGCTAGCTAGCTCGATATCATAACCACCACCTTCCTTTTGTTTTTATTTTAATTTTGAGAAATAAACTTTGGTCATTAAATTTTCATAGAATATTTTAATATTAATCGTATATATACTACCAACATTTTATGAAAGCACTTTAATTTAAAATCTGAATTTTTTTTTTGGCATAATGTATCTATTCAAAACAAAATTGTAGTGTTTGACACAATATTTGATCAAAGTCTACAGTATGAGGGTAGAAAACTCACATGAAAATAAAAATAGGTTATTGCCATGAATTATTTTCAATTCATGTGGCATATTTTATTTTTTCAGTTCTACCGGGTTAATATATCCGGTGCGGTAATTAAACCAGGTATTTTGCCGTACACTAGTAAGAACATAAAGAGAATATTGAAATGTTTAATATATTGTACAGTTCAGCTATTTAAGGCCTATTACTTGTTTAGTTTAATTAATGATTTAATCCACTATATGCCATCGATAAAGTATGAATTATAGGATGTGCCATTGATGAAGCAGAATTCTATGATATACTATCAAGCAATTCGTTTTCTTTCATATATGCCACCACTGTTAGTTATTAACTGCTAGTCAACTCTGTTAAGGTAGAAAATTATCATTTCTCTTAGAGTACCATGTTTACGTATGGATTTCATTTATTGGGATATTTTTTTCTCATTCGCGAAAAATAGAATTGCTTGTTTATTTTATCATCCAAAATTATTTCACAAGTCACGGCGTTGTGCAGAATCTCATTTTTACCCTTCGTAAAATTGTCATTTTCTCTTTAAACGGAGTTTGATTAATGATTGACTAACCACACAATGACAAAATAGTATATTATAGAATTGAGCTTTATCAGTGATATATCGTAGGACATGTGCTTTGCAATGACAAACGTAGAATGGATTAAACTCTTAATTATAACTTTATAAGCGACGGCCCAAAGGTGCAGGGTGCAAATGAAACACATCATAAGTTAAACAAGATATTTAATCGAGGTAGTATTATTCATTTGCCCCCAACGGAGATTATTTCATATTCGTTAGTTCCAGCTCGAACTACTTCAAAAAAAATCCATGGGATGCACGCATTATTGTCCCTAGAATATATCAAAATAAAATGCACAACGGCTACTCATCATCATCTAGTGCACGGTTTTGACGTGTAATTAACATGCCAAGTTGCTCCATAAATCTACTATAGTTTGACGTGATTGTGAAGGATCCAAGAAAAAATAGTAAGGAATCTTTAAAAAATAACTAGATAAAACTATATATAGCCCTCCCTTTATATGTATCATATATGTATGACAAAAGAAAATTAGTGCAAACTTCATTAATTAGGGCTCCCGTGATCCAATTGCCAGTAGTGAAAGCTCGAGCCTCCGCTGCCTTCACGCTAGATCCACCCCTGCTGCTTGAAGGGAATCCGGTAGATTCATTCACCAACCACTGTTTAAACGGCAAGTAAGTAATTTAGTATATGTAATTCCTCCACCAGCATGAGTAGTATTGGGAGGCAAATCCGGTGGCGCAGTTCAAAAAACCAGCTGTGTTGTATTTGAATACTTCTATGCGTACATACCATCTTACAATTGTTTCATACTGCTATATGCATTTTTCAACATGTTACATCACATCGATGGATCTAGAAATATAGAATATAGAATTAGAGATGGGTAAGGCAAAAAGACTTTAGGCCTGTTTAGTTCAGAAACTTTTTTTCCCAAAAGCATAACATCGAATCTTTGGACGCATGTATAGAGTATTAAATATAGATAAATTAAAAAAACTAATTACACAGTTAGGGGGGAAATTGCGAGACGAATCTTTTGAGCCTAATTAGCCCATGATTAGCCATAAGTGCTACAGTAACCTACATATGCTAATGACTGCTTAATTAGGCTCAAAAGATTCGTCTCGCGGATTCCAGGCGAGTTATGAAATTACTTTTTTCATTCGTGTCCAAAAACCCCTTCCGACATCCGGTCAAACATCCGACGTGACACCCAAAAATTTCCTTTTCGCGAAGTAAACAGGCCGTAAATTCCATGATGTTTGACTCAGAAGCCAAGTAGGAGTAGCTCGAATAACTGGAGAAGGAAACGCGATTATTTATATTTGGAAAAAGTACGAAATCTATCGCGGTCGACCGAATTACCCCCTGAACCACAAAACCGGACATTCTTCACCCCCAACTTTGCAAACCAGACAAATAACCCCCCTGGCTCAATCCGCGGTGGTTTTAATCCTATATGGCAGTCCAGTCAACAATTCATTTATAAAAAAATAGGTGGCCCCCACCTGTCAGTTTCTCTCTCTTCTATCTCTTTCCCAATATCTCACTCTCTCTCTCTCTCTCTCTTCATCAGTGTTCCATGAGAGGCCGCACCTGTTAGGGCCGTCGCCGCCGCCGACGTCCAGACCGGCCGCCGCGCCATGCTCAACCTCATCGCCACCGGGATCACCGGCGGCGCCCTCGCATAGGCGGCGCTCGCCAAGGCCGCCAAGCCCATCAAGCTCGGCCCCCCACCACCGCCCTCCGGTGAAGGAGAGGTTCTACATGCAGCCACTGCCACCAGCGGAGGCGGCGGCGAGGGTGAAGGAGGCGAGGCGGCAGCGGGCGCGGGCTATTGGCGGGGCGTGATGAGCTAAGGTCGGCGCTGGGGGTGGGTGCGGA